TTCGATGGATAGCCCAGGAATTCCATCTTTTACTAATTCGTGATTTTAGAGCAACCGGCACTAACCAAACTCATCAGCAGGAATTCCATGCTCACTCCGGACTGGATGAACTCCAGTGGTCACAACTTCTCACTAGAATTTCAGGCAATTTCGTTCTGTAGTGTATCAGAATAATTTTTAAGAATTAATTTGTGGGAGTTTGATTTTCTCCAGTTAAACGCGCAATTAGACTGGACCGCAATGTTCAAGTTCTATTTTTTACACCAGCCCCGTCCACCCTGAGCTACAGCAAATATTAACCTTCATTTTGAAGAAAATATGTATACGTATCACAAGTGGTACGCTTGTAGAATGCTCTTCAACTACACAGATGGTCTAGCAGTCGACCTCCAGCTGACATACTCCTAAATCTCGCGTAGTCAGTCGTTAGCATATTAAAGTGGGAAGGTTAAATGTAAGCCTAACAACTCTACCCCGAAAAAAATAAAACTACACCTCTTGAAATTTCCAAGTCAAATATTGAAACCCAAGATCAAACACAAGATCATACGCATGATATGGATACGTTACGTAGACGACAGATTTGTAATAATGAAAAGAAACGAGTTAGATAAAGCTCACAACTTAATAAACAACGTCTTCAACGACATCAAATTCACAAGAGAAGCGGAATCCGGCAACAAAATCCCATTTTTGGATGTCTTAGTCAAGCGAACAACTACAGGGGAACTAGAAACTCTATTTTATAGAGCATCAACTCACACAGACCGATTACTGAATTACAAAAGCAATAATCCAATAACACACAAAAGGAATTTTATACAAACACTATTCAAGAGAGCCAGCCAGGACCCATTGCAGCACTACCACCTCAAGGAAAATTGAAGAAACATACCTCATGGACGTCTTTCAAAAGAATGGATACCTCCAAGCCAACCTATCGAAACAAAGCCCACCCCCAATGAAAGTACAGAGATCATCGCCCTACCATATATCAAGGGTATCTCAGAAATCACTGCAAGACTCTTCAAACCTTGATGAGGAATTGGTATCATGAACAAACCAACAAAATCACTCCAATCAGCTGGCTTTGTGTCAACCAAAATACTCAATAACGGAAGAAGATAAAGCTAACATCATCTACAAAATAATTTGTAACGACTGTGAAACCACTTCATTGGCCAAATTGGACGTCCCCTTCGTCTTAGTATCCATGAACATAAGCTAGTCGTCAAAAGACATGACATCCACTCCCTCATATCGCCTCATTGTACACAGACAACCACGGACATCAATTCGGCTGGCCAACGTTCAAATATTAGAGAGAGGAAACACCAAGATTGTTAGACAATTTTCAGAAGCCTGGTATTTTAGTGAGAAGCGGAGATTAATAAACGCATTGACGTAGACAAAATTTACCAGTCGATAAGAAGGAAATCTCAAAGAAAAGGGGTCAAAGTTTAAGTCACGAAAACAATTAGTACCAATGCCATAATTCGCCTAGAGTAAGGGGTTTGGAAACACACAAAAACAAGCAATCACTTTCAACATCACCCACCAGGAGAGATGACTAATAAGCTCATGGTGAAATCCAGAAGCTCAATTCAACAAATTGAAGTATTCGCTGAAGATGTTGCCTAGTAGGTCAATGAAAGCTTCATGTATTAACTATCCAGCTCAAGGAACACAACCACATGAAAATCATCCACCTTAGCTACAAATCTTCTTTATCATAGCTGTATGTTCTTGTCAGGAAGCAAAGAATACCTTCAATTTTTAAGATAGTACAAATAAAAACGACGTTAATTAATTAATTAACCCAACTCAGAACTCATTGTTCTAAAAAACAAATTCTTGAAATATATTTAATTCCCTGATTAATTACAGGTTGAGTACTTTAAAATGCTTACCCTTAATTATTAGAACTCTTTATATAAAATACTGAACAAGTGTATACACCAGAATGAAGAGAAAAGATAGAAAACATGACCACTTATCAGAATTATATTTTTGCTTTTTAATAAACGTAGATCAACTGACTTATCTAATAATTAAAAAAAGATGTTCTCTTGTCTGAGAGTACTGCTCATTGTGATAGCCATGCAGTTCTCTCTCTCTCTCTTTGAGTGAACGTGTGTTTGTGTGTGTGTGTGTGAAGATTACCCCTAGTTTAATAAGTAGAAATGGACAAACAGGTGGACACATACACGCATACAAAACAATATCAAAGTATCTCAGCAATCTGGTGGTGGTGGTGGGGGGCATTTTTCAGGTCAACTAGTGTGTGTGTACTTGCTTCCTGAAGTAAATGATGATAATGCTAATGAGAAATGTTTTCATATACTTGTTTATTGCAGTTCTTCTTTGTGTTATTGTACTCTCTTTCTCTGAAAGGTTGTTAATTAATTAGCATTAAGATAATTTGCATGATTGGTGTTCACACGTCTAGGGTATTCAGCTCACTTGTACTTTTTTTAAGATTTTACTTCTTCACGTTCCTACTGGAAAATAAGGATTCAGTGTAGAGCTTTGAAGTTTTTGTAGAAGTGGTGTTTATTTTTATGGGGTGTGGTTGCTAGTCTGTCTCATACTCAACCTCCCCTTTTTATAGTATTATATTATTATTGTTTCCTTTAATTCCTAGAGGAAAATAGGGCTTCAGCCAAACGTCTCCATTGCATTTGGTTCTCTGACAACGTTTTCACCTGGCTCCACATCTGCCCACACGCTTTCAAACCCTCTTCATGTCAACCTCCTTCTCCATGTCACCCTCACTGCTTCCCGTTCGGGTTCCACTCGAGTGATGGCCTGGCGTGTGATGTCACCCACTTGATGGTTTGTTTTCTCAGAGTATGGCCAATCCACCTAACTTTATTTCTTTCTGCATATTTGTTGTAGAATCGGTTCCTACTGGGTTGGTTCGCTCATTGCCAGAGATCTCTGTTGCTGATCTTTTCTTGCCGAAAAAACCTTCCATCTTTTTACTGATCTTATTACCAGCTTAGGGAAGTTTAGGAATGCATCAGCCGAGGATCGAACCTTGAGGCATACACATGGTTGGCGAGTAGTTTACCTCTGTACCACCGACGCAACAGAAGTTACTGTAGAATGCCGTAAATCGAAGCTATGATTATACACCAAACTGAATCATCTACGATACTTTTATTTCATTTGTTTTGCCTTCTGGGTGGAGTAGAGACCTTCAGGCTGTGCAATTTCGGTAACGGCTGTGTTGTTTTTTTCAATGGAGTGAGGTTGTCAACCTTAAGCTTAACCTTCGTGTTTTTTTAGGGTGAGGTCTAGCAGCACGCTGGACAGGAGTCGAACTCGAAACTCTTGTGTAGCCGGCAGACTATTGACTCGCCATTTTTCTCGTTGAAAGATGGTTCGAATCCATTGCGTTCGGTTTTCATCTCTGCCAACGTTTTCACCTGGCTCAGCGTCTGCCCACATGCTTTCATCTCCTCTTCGCATCAACCTCCTCCTCCATGTCATCCTCGCACTAACGACCAACTCCCAACTTCACGGCTGGGTTCCACTCGAGAGCCTGTCTTGTGATGTCACTCAGTTGATGGTTTGTTTTCTCAGAGTATGGTCAATCCACCTCCATTTTTTCCTGCATATTTTTTGCACAGTTGGCTCCTACTGGGTTGGTTCGTTCGCTCCTAGAAGTCCCTTCCTGTTGCTGATGTTTTCTGGATGGCCATCTGATCTTGAGTAGTATGGAGCGAAGACAGCTGTTGACGAAAGTCTGTAGTTTGTTTGAAGTGCTCTTCATGACGCGTCAAGTCTCTGATCCGTATAGAGCAGTACTCACTTCACACTGGAGTTGAGAATCCGGGTCTTATTTTCATTTTTAAGCCGATTACTGCTGATATCCACACAGACTTGAGGGAAGTGAAAGCTTGCCTTGATTTCCTGATCCTCGTTTTGATATCCTCATCAGTTCTGTCCGCTGACAAGATGCTTCCCATGGAGGGAGGGAGGTAAAGGAGGCTGCTTCTTTCAGATTCAGTTTTTCCCATTTAAGCTGATTGTTGTCTGGTGTTGTTGCTAACGCTGTTGGCCAGGAATCTCCATCACCTCGGTTTTCTCTATGTTCACCTGAAGTCCTTCCCTTCTTCTCTGGATGTTTCCTCCATCACGAACTTGTTTCTTTTCACTTGCATATTTTCCAGTTTGTGGGAAATCAGACATATATCATAGGCAAAGTCGCGCTCTCTGTCGCACTATCCAGTATACCGCAATCAGGGAAATAATTGGAGATAGTAGGCAGTCATCCAGCCTTGTCTTACTTCCGTCTTCAATTTTTCGAAGGATTCCATGAGTTTTCCGTTATGGATTATTTGGCATTGAGCCTTATCGTACAATTGTTGGATGAGATATGGAACTAAATAATAGTAATTGTATCTAATGTAAACTTATATAGTATATAAATGCCATTGTACAGCTACTCTGGGGAATGAAGTCACCGAAAAGGTAGTTAATCTTGTGCCTGAACTTCTTGTTCTTTTCTGTCTAATATCTTGACGAGTATTTTCCACGATTTAGTCATTATACCTTTGATATTTCAAAAAAGCTCCTAGAAGAATGAAATATTTCTTCAGTAACTTCATAACTGATATTATTATCATCATCATCGGCGTCATTCCCATTGGAGTCCGTGTTTAACTTAGAGCATCAGCAAGATATCTGTGTTTCGCCCAGTTCCTCTGTAGACTTCATCTTTAGACGATTCCACGATTGTTTACCCCTTCGTCACACAATCTACTCCCTGTCATACTCGGACCTACCTCCCGCTTATCGTTTCCCATTCTTAACTGATATTATTTCGGTAGAAAATCTTCTTTGGTATAAAGTGCCTACCCTCAGAGAGACGGAGAGAAAGATGCCCGCTGATGTATATCTGCGTGTGTGTTTGCGTGTGAGGTCATATATTTTACTCATATAGTGTGTAATAACTAACCCTTCACTTATTTGATTTTCATTTGCTTGATCAGGTATCTCTGAAATCAGTCGTGGATCAATTTCGTTCTGACATCAGTGGCAGGAAATATTTGTCAATACTTGATTACCGTAAGTTGATTAATATATATATATATATATATATATATACTCAATAGTTGGTTTGTAAAGATTAGATTTATTTTTACGAGTTTGACCACGGATTGATATCATTTAGAGAGCCATTGAAAGCTAGTGCTGGAGTACTGGTTAGCCAGCTGTTTCGTCTCACTAGTTTTGGGAATCATCAGCAATAAAACATCCACCTCCAGCGTTCGAACCCAGGAGCTTCCAGTTACAAAGCAATCTCGTACACCACTCAGCCACTGGGACCCGATTCAATAGCCAGTCCATGAATTCTAACTTATATCTCAATTCGTGATGCATTTAGCGCAACTGGCACCAACCGATTCCATCGGTGGGACATCCATTCTCACACTTGACTAGATGGATCTCTGGATGGATCGACACGACTTCTCACTTGAAATCCAAGAAAAATCTGTCCTGTAACAAGTCAAAAGCGAGCATCAGGTTAATTTGCAATAGTTTGTTTACAAGGATTAGATTTGTTTTTACGACATATATATATATATATATATCAGCGACCTTGCGTAAGTGACAACATAAATCTTTGGTTTTCCCATGTATTTTTACTGTTTAAAAAGTTGCAGAAGATTATTGATTACCAATCAGAAACTGACATGATCTATCTGTCTGTCTATCTGGATTCAACATAGAACTTGGCACCGAAGTGCACCAGTTCGAGTTCCCACGTCCCAAATACCACACAGAGGTAGACAAGAAGATGAGTGAAGAGAATCAATACAGTCTGACAAGTATAAGAGTGAAACAGAATGGGTAATGGTAGAAAGGAATATGAAAGATTACAGAGACTGAATACATCTGCGCTGGCCATTGACAACGATTTTGAGCCATGTCACTTATTGTCGCCAGCCATTGATTCCTAGAGTCACGAGGGCTCCAACCCGGGAGTCTGCATCTCCCTACCTGACTCAGTTGTTTAACTGTCAAGGATTTGATGGATTGATGGCATGTTTTTGTTTGGCCACCACTTACCCTTTTCCAACCTGCACCTATATCAGCTAGTAATGCCCGTCAGGGGAGGCGATGGTTAAGCATGCGCAGCACGTGGCCTAGCCATCTCAGTCTATGTAACTTTATAGCCTCGTCGATTGATTTTCCCCCTTTGCTCAACACTACGCCTAACGTCAACATTCCTTACCTTGTCGTACCACCTGACGTGAGAAAGAGATCGCATCGGTGGCACAGTGGTTAGGACTCTCGCCGACCATGCACATGGTCCGGGGTTCGAGCCCCTGCCGACGAAGCACACCTGATATCTATGGTCGGCCTGCGAAATTTGGGCTACCGATATCCATGCTGAAAATTCCATACTTGTACCAAAAATACAGTGTGGAATCAAGCTGTAAATCAAAAATTTAAAAAAAGCATGATCTATAATGCAGTTGGAAATAAACAATTTCTTAACTGATAGTCCAGATCAATTTTATTGTCCTTCTTCGATAGTCAATCTTGCAACAATAATCATTCAGTTCGTATTCCATTTAGTCGTTTGCCACACTGTCGAGATATGTTTAACTGGCAACAGTAATGAATAGATTCCACATTCAAATGACCTTGAACAAACCAGTCAGGTCACTCAGCACTACAAATGGTTGCTTTTCAATCTGATTAAGGATTAAATTTAGAGGAGGATTAAGGTAGGGTTATTATTAGCGTTAGACCAAAACTCACAACGAAAATCTGGGTGGAGATGAAGCACACCTGCAATGGAGATCATGAAAAACATCGATTTTTAATGCTGCGCAATCTGATTGGTTGGTTCAAGGTTATTTAAGTGTGCAGCATCTATTCTTTACTATTACCATTTAGCTAATATTCTAACTATGTATGCTTTTTATTGTATCATATGAATTGACTTGTTTAAGTTTGTATTTCTGTTAATAAATTGTTGAATAAAGAGAAGTTTCGTCTTTTAGAAATGACGTCATCGAAGTAATTTATGCTTATAATTGTGTGTGTGTGTGGGGGTGTGATTTATATGAATTTAGTCATTTCAACATTTTCACTATTGAAATTGTTAAGTTAGCAGTGCTAAAATTAATTGACAAGTCAATGAATTCCAGCCTTTTAGCTGAGCTCCCAACGAAATGGTCTCATAACCTTGAAGACCCCAGTTTTCACCCCTGCTTGCTTCATGGATGCCTACTAATGAAGACTTCCAAGAGCGGAAGAGACTACTACCGAATACTCTATGTTCTTCAATGATTGTCTTACCGTTATTGGTTCGTGACAAAATCTGTGTTGAAATTAATCCTTAAGTACAACTGAAAAATTGTGTGTCGCAGGCGATACAGGAACATTCTGTAGGATTAAAAAGTATGAGAATGCGTGACGTAACAGCTAATGTGACAGATTATGACAGCTTATCTGTTACTAGCTTAATAGCATGACAATAGTCTGTGATTAAAAACGAAACTAAACCGTCATCAATGGATTAGATCACGTAAGCTTATTTAGAGGTAGCACTGTATGAGCCACTTGCAACTCGACGGTTCACTTCTGTTTAAACTTTAGCCAGCAGTGAAGTTCGGCGATCGTCAGTTGGATACACCAGCATTCCAGTGAGCTGTAGCATTTTAAATAGGCACAATAAGAAATAGCTAATCTTTGTTCTGCATTTAGGCATATTATTTCACTGAGGTGTGAAACCATGCATGTTTGGTTGAGGCCCAAATGGAATGAATATCACCTATTGAAGTGCAAGTTTGTTCAGCTAATTAGTGTCAAACAGAACGAAGTGTGTGTGTGTGTTCTAGACTCCATTGATGAAAGGCATGAATGAGGCATCTATTCTAAGAGTTTGTTTGCTAACAGAAATCGGTTATTTTAGTTCAGTTAAAATATTAAGCAACACCACCACTCTGTTGCCTTGACACCAGTCCACCAGTATTAGGCCAATCTCACAGATAATGTCGTCTGAAGTTGCTGATTTGATAAAGCTCTGTGACAACTTCTATCATGTTAGATTTAATGAAGATTCTGATGGATTTGTATCAGCTAAGCACAAAAAATTGGAGTTTGAAAGCGTGACAGTTAACCAAATCACCTTTTCTCATTCTTTGGTGATTCGAGGAGAAGTATGACAATAAATCTGCACAGAAGCGGAAGGAGGAGTCGGCAAGAGTAGGTGGAAGTCTAGTGGTTTTTGTTTTAGTGAAGCTCAATAATTGAAGAGATAAATAAGCAACCCCCCGCATAGACGACACCTTCCACTGGATCATTCTACGCAGTTGAACCGATTTTTAAGCACCTAAACAAGCATTACCATTAGAAAAGTAGTCGCTAGACAAATGTGTGGAATACCACAGTTAAATGATAGAATTTGATCGAAGTTATACACTTTCTCGGGAATGAACCTTATTTAGAAAGCTTACCACTGCATTTCGTCACATTTAGTAGTGACTACAAAGTTTTGTTTGGTGATATGAAAGTTTTATCATGTCTGAGTATACAATTCGCTAGATTGCCACTGCTTCTTGATTCAGTTACTAAATCTTCAGTAGCTCTTTGATCATTCCGAAATTTGTCTTCCTTGAAATGGTCTAAATACCTGACGATTATTTTACTTATATAAGGGTGAGATTATCTGTGGTATACTCAGCCTGATTCAAGTTAAAGAGCCAAATCAGTTCTGCACTGATTCAAACAGGGTACATCGTTTATGATCTCACCTTGAATGAACTGAAGAGCCCTTTGGCATCTAGGTTACTTCGATTTGGCTAGCAAGCACTACTCTTTAGCGTAAGTGGTGTCCACCTGCCCATAGTATTGTAATGAGTGTATACTATTATGAAGACATGCTTCTGAGGTTTAATTATCTTCAAGAATATTTAGCTGATATCACGTTTGCATATCTGTTTGAAATGTCTGGTATCATTATGATTTCCATTGTGTGCAAAAAGTTTATTTTGATAAAGTCTTACAGTGTTGTTATACAATAAGTAATATTCACTCATTACCACGCTTCGATCACAATTTATACACTGGTCATAATCATACCAAGTTACTCACGAAATATTCTAAATTCCTTTGTATAATTCCATTTTTCCTCGTCTCTTGATTTCATTGGTGGTAGTATTTTTCATACCTCTTGCATCAGCGTGATGAGTCATTCCTATTGCGGGAGTTGAGTGTAGATTCTATGAACAAAAATTCATTAATTAACCCTGTACTGATGACGGATGGGATGAATTGAAGTCTAAATATCTTCTATTAAAATAAACAAGGAGAATTAACTATGTTAGATTATAGAATAAAAGAGAAGGAAGAGGGCAAACTATACACTAGCGTTTATAAAAGGCCAACACATTCTGCTAATAGATATTTAGACTTCAATTCATCGTATCCATTGTCTGTAAGGGCTGGTTTAGTTAATTATCTTACAAACCGAGCAACATCATTACTAGGTAGTACTTCAAAAAGCCTAAATGATGAAATGAAACAGATAGGAGAAGAAGCGTCGCTGTTAAATGACTACCATATGAAATTCACTAGGAAGATCAGAAAAGGTCATAAGCAAAACAAAAATAATGGTGTGCGTCGGTGGCACAGCTGTTAGGACTCTCGTCAACCATGCACATGGTCCGAGGTTCGATCCCCTGCCGACGCACACTTGATATCTATGGTCGGCCTGCAAAATTTGGGCTACCGATATCCATGCTGAAAAATTCATACTTGTACCAAAATACAGTGTGGAATCAAGCTGTAAATCAAAAAAATAATAATAATAATAACATAAAGAATATAGGGTATCTACCATATAGGCTTCTGCCATATTAAGACAAGGCATCCAAGGCTGCGTAGGATCCTTAATAAAGTAAGAATTAAGGGGGGGGCATTTAAACCTTCAAACTCACTCAGGTAGGACAAGCTCTATAGGTTATAAGGACCTTGCTGACCCAGATCGACAAGATAATATAATTTACAAAATACCTTGCAATGACTGTGAGTGAAATCAACTACGTTAGTCAAACCAGTAGGTCGGGGGCAGTCAGATTATAAGAACACAAGAATTTAGCTAATTGTAGAATGATTGACACCGAAAAGATAAGTAATTTAGAAAAAAGCTCAGCAATACCTTGTACTGCATGCATTAATGCACAGCCACACAATAGGTTGGGAGAGGATTAAGATTGTTAGAAGTAACATGGGTAGGCGGAGACAGGTCAATTACTGAATCTTTATTCATTGAATCTATACCTAATACGCGCAGTTGGAATGACTCATCACTCATACTGGAAATATGGAAGATACTAATACCAATCAAGTCAAGCGATGAAAATTAGTGGAGTTATATGAACAACGTTAGAAAGTTGTGTGAGTAGTGACTTGATATTGGGATTATGAGGAGTAATGAATTGTGCTTGTAACATGGTCATCAGTAAATATTACTTACTGTATAACAACACTGTGAGAATTTAATTTGTGGATGGTGACTTGCAGTGGAATCCAGGACAACGCGCATTTCGTCCTGTTTGGGACTCGTCAACTGGATGTACCTGCATTCCCCAGTGAGTGATGATGTTCCCGCCAAGACTCGAACCTAGAGCCCATGGTTTCAAACGCCAAAGCATTATCCACTAGACCACTTTGGTCATGAGAGCCACTTTTTGCGTGCAACGGGTCATATTAATTATTTAACTGAACTTGAGATTTCTCCGTCGATTGATTAGACCGAAGTGCTCGGTCTCAGATTGACATGTCGGCTTCTTGTGGAGATGCTTTGATGATGTCTGGGTATTTAGTTAAAATTTGATTTGTCGATGGTGACTAGTAGTGGAAGAAGCCGACAAATCAATGTGAGACTTTATCACAATAACTTTTTGACAAAATGAAAGTAGAGTCTACAGCCAAAGTGTACAAGTTCTATTCTTATATCAGTGTTTCATTAAAGTAATATTTATGCGCGTTAATTTGTGAATATCATCCTCTGCTTTTGCCTCTTCTTCTCCTACAGACTATCAAACCTTATTAATTCACTTATCAAGTCGTATTCGAATATGCTATCAATATCAACCAGATACACTCCTGTCCAACTTTCAATCAACGCTTATCAAATATCCAAATGAAAAACATTGTCAATATGCATTAACTTTTCTAGCCACATTAGATTTGGATAAATCCTTATTTGATGCATTGAAGACAACAGCCAGGGAAGATACTACACCAACACCTCCACCGTATTGTAGAATAAAACTACCAAAACATTTTTATAATCGATTAACAGACAGTCTATGCTCTTATTATTCTATTGGTTCAAAAAGGAATACTGATAAGTGTTCAAGGAGTCGTATTTCACCAGTTATCATTGGGAAATATCTTTTATCCTGGGTGAGTACATAATTTCTGAATATATATATATATATATATAGATTATTTCTTTGGGTTCTTAGTAGAATAATGGGCTTCGCAAAATATCTACATGTTATATTAATATATATGTGTAAAACTTCGGCAACGTGGTAGTAAGTAATTCCATATTATTTTGTTTATTAGATATATCACACATTCAAACAGATAGTTGGACTTCCGATCATCCCATCCTATGTCAGTGAAAATAGGATTGATGAAATGTTAAAGTAATAGAGCACAAAAACTAAGTAGTACCAAGGAAAATCTAAGATAGGAAGTAAGGCATATAAGAGTGTAACAACAGAAGACAAGGGCCAGCCAAACAGATCGTTTATTACGGAAATTAACACGTATTTTTATATGTTTTCATGTACATTATTTTAGCTTATTCAACCAAACAACCACAGTCTTCTGATTGGTGGCTGTTTCTCACAGAAAGTTGGCCTTGCATCTGTTTGTGACTGTTTCTTGAATGTCAGATTATCGATATGTTAACTGTATTTGTCTACGCAAAGTCTGCTGTGAGACTGGTTATTGAATCAGTCTTGTTCATATTTTCTCACTACCAATATTGAGGATATAAACATTGACGTAAATCACTGTCTACCATTTTGGCCAGCAACCTTGCTCTCACGACAAGAGAAGCTTTGAAAAGGGATAATAACCCTGATAAATTAGTGAGAAAGTATATAGGGAAATGTAAAAATAAAATAAATAATAGTAGTAGTGATAATGATAATAAAAATAATAGTAATATTGATGAAGACATGCATGCTAAACACACGCAGGATAATTACAACACCGAAAATTAGGAATCTAAATCATCAGTAGTACTTTCATACAAAGAACGAACTTCGGAAAAATTACAGAGAATTCTTTACGAGGCAGGAATAAAAGTAGCTGGCATTCAAAACACCCACAAACTCAATTAGAAACGAGCTTTGTTGGTTAAAGCATCAATCCTGTGGAGCCTTTAAAACAAAACAATTTAGCTTATCTAATACCCTGTCTGCAGTGATTGTTAGTTCAAAGATATAGGTCAAAGTAGTAGAACAGGTGCAGCGAAAGTAGCCGAGCATAAAAGCCCAGCAAAATCTAGATTAGTGTACCCAAATAATATAATAAATCTAGGGAATGGTTCAGCTATAGCACTCACCACATTCAATTACACACAACCATGCAATAGGATAGATGGGATAAGATGACAGTTTTAAAATCTAATGTAACAGAGTGAATAGAGGGAGGGATTGATAACAACGGAAGCTTTGTTTATCGAGTCAGCTGGAGGCACGTGTAGTAGGAATGATTCAACACCTGTCTCAGATATCTGGAAAATTCTACTACCCCTACGACTACAAATAGGAGAGAACAAAGAAAACTATAAAATCGCAGTTTCAAAGTCGTGTGATTATAATTGATGGAATGATTATGAACAATAAATTTTGTTCGAAACGTCATCCAGTAAACAAGTGGACGTCTCATCTTCTTTGTATCCATGAGCATAAGTTAGTCGTCAAAAGACATGACATCCACTCCCTCATATTACTCGCTGCATACAGACAACCACGGGCATCATTTCGACTGGACAACGTTCAAATATTTTAGACAGAGGAGCAGCAAGAATGTCATCAGGGATTTTCAGAAGCCTGGTGTTCCGGTGAATCGTCAGTCAATAGGCACATCGAGATATACAAGATTTATCAATCGATAAGAAGGAAATCTCACACCCACAAAGAGTTAATCTTCAGGTCAAGAAAACAATCAATACCAATACCTCAAGTAGCCTAGAGGGTGTGAAAACACACAAAAACAACCAGTCACGAGGTTCAAAGTCACCCGCTAGGAGAAATGATTAATCTATTCGTGGAGAAATCTAAAATCTCACTTCAATTCAAATTGAAGTATCCGCTGAAGATGTTGCCTAGTGGGGATATGGCAATGAAAGCTTCGCAAATAAACTATTCAGCTCAGAGAACCCAACGACATCAAAATCTCATACAACCGGTTCCCTTTATTAGTTTGAAGAGAGAAAGAACGAACATGTTTTTGCAGAATAATACGAGCTCGTTTTATTTCGTGGATACTCATCAACTGCATACATCCTAAACAAAATCAAATTAAAAGTTTCAAAAAAGTTTTGGAACATACTTTTTCAATAATTACTAAGAGTTATAAATAGAAGGTATAAGGAACATAATTCCGGAATTTGATGTAGGTAGACAGATTATTCAGTGTCAAAAACAAGTAATTATATAATAGTGGAATTAGATTAGAGGGGTTAGACTTCAGATTTCTATTGGAAAACACAGATTGGTTAGAGGCATATTATAGGGTCAGGGTTAGAGAACAGAGTGAATTTACACATTTTGTGCTGGAGGTTTCAAGAGGGTGGGGGTGAATAGTGAAGTAACATTTTGTTAACTTAAACAGACAATTGAGTAGATTTAGAAACTTGAAGGTCAAAATGGAATAGAATGTTTCGTAACAAGACAAACACACAGGCATACTGACAAAAAGGCAAAACAAAAAATAAATAAAATAGGATTAAGGTTACCAGGGTAGTGAAAGATTATTCACACTATCTTTCTGTGTACAGAGGTCTGGTCGAAGTCTCTTGATAGCGATGGCTTCTGCGAAACGAAGTAGCCATGGGTTTCTTTGCATATTGATTATTTTGAAGGCTTGGCTGATTTCTACTGTGTGTCCTGTGTGAATTAAATGTCTGGCGATTGCAGTCGATAACACTTTTCTTCCTTTTATACTGAGGCTCTTAGGAATGTGCTCAGAAAATCTAGTAGATGCTCCCCACTCAGTCCTTCCTATGTACTTTCTTCCGCAGGTGCACGTGAATTGGTAAATGCAGTTGGAGTTGACGTGAGTAGGGTACTCATCTACTTTTGACTGGGTTAACGAGCACATAGTGTTGTGAAATAGGATCAGTCTGGCAGCTGGAAATGTTCTTTTTAATGCACCTGTGATTCTTTTTTGTGTTCTTGTGGATACGTCTTCCCCTTTCTACGCTAGGCAGATGAAAACTAGTTTCTTTTCAAAGGTGTCAGGTTTCAGTTGGTGTGTTTCTTCATTTCTATACTTTAATATGAACTTTTGGGGTATATCCATTCTCGATGAGGTTCTTTTCGATGACGGCGAGTTCTTCTTCAGAACCATCCACTTGAGCTACAAACCTTCTCCATCATAGCTATGAGCTTAGAACTTAGGAAATAAAAGGAGTAGGTCTTATATGTTTGTGTACATTAATCAGTCAGACATGTTTACTGCTCTAAGCTGTCATACTCATAATAGTTGTCACTAATAAAGTAATACTTGAAATTGTAATCGTATTGATTTTGTTTTAATGAATTCTCAAAATGAAAATCGATTGAAAACTGACATATATATTCTTGACGCTAACTGCTGAATTTAGGAAATCTGAAGTGTATGTGTTTTTGAACAAATCTTCATAGTAAAGGAGTGGGAAATATTTCATAACCCATGAAAAGTTCTTTAGTGAATTTCCCTTCATTATCGTCATTATTATTTATATTTATTCCTTTAGGTTCCTAGGGGAATATAGGGCTTCGAAAGAATATCTGTATTTTGTCCTTGTTGGCTGTCCATGGGCTTCTATCTTACTTTTACACGATCTCATCTATATCACCGTCGACGTGACAATCCAACTTGTCTTTTTCCAATTCCAGTTCCACTCCACCGTTGGTCTGGTGTGTGATGTCCCTCAGAGTGTATCTAACACGACTGTATTTAGATGATATTAGATAGTTGGAGGCAATCGGCCACAGAAAGCCTTTAGTACTAGTTGGCGTTCATCAGTCAGCAAGGCATATCTGAGACCAGCTTGAAGGAACTTATGTTGCTTCTGATGAGCTATCTAGAATTGTGGCCACATTGCATACCTGACTGAGAGAATTCAATCTGCACTAAAGAAAGGACTAGACACGTCGCACTAATTACTAGTGTCCAATCAAATCACCAACTTCATTTTCTTTGTCATATTTGTTGGGTGAAAGGCTTTCGATTGTTTGGTTTCCAGAGTCTCCTGTCGTTTATCCTCTCTGTCTATCTGGTCTTCGGTATCTAGAGAATGAAGCTGTTGATGAAAGTACACAGCTGTTTTTTCTGATGACTCAAGTCTCTGAACAATATAGAATTACTGATTTAACATTCGTGTTGAAAATACCATTCTAATAAAGTATAATTATATTTTAATAGTTTACACACAATGATAACTGTTTTGTTTTTGGTAATATTTCGAGCAAAATTACTGCCTGTGTTCACACCACTGTTGGGATTGTTTTATTCACACATTTATGATTTGTACTCATGTTAATATAGTTCATTATTATTATTTTTTTGCTCATTCATGTTTTGTGTGTGCATATGTGTGTTCAGAATTATACTCCACATTCATTCATGTGTTTGTATTTAGAATTATATTCCAATTTGTTGACAGTTGTGCTGCTGAGTCACCCTTGTTACATGTATCCGGTGTGACTTTAATCAATATCGATTCTGTTATGAGTCTTTCTTTCCATTTGCTCATGTTTGTTTTTAGTATACACACATTGTCCCAATCGATATTGTGGTTTTTGTCCCATGCATGTGCAGCTATCGATGAATTTTTTTCAAGATTTTTGTAAGCTTGTGTCCCTGTTGGTTGACCTTTAGTTAGGCGTTTATGTTCATTCACTCTTATTTTGAGTGATCTGGACGTTTGCCCCACATATTTAGTTGGACAGTCAGTCAGCACAAGATATTTTGTAAATCAAATTGTTTTTATCTATCATTTTTATGGGATCTTTCAGTGGATTTATTTTATTTTTGATTAGCTTTGTCGGTTTAAAGGTTGTTCGAATTCCGATATTTTTGAGGTTTCTTTGAATTGCCTCTGATGTACCATTTTGATATGGTATTGTGACTGTTTCTTTCCATTCTTCCTTCTTGTTATTCTCCGGTTTTACCCT